TCGTTAGCCTTTTTGCAGAAAAAATAAAATGAAGTATTTATGTTATGTGAATATCTGTAATCTATTTATTCTAGAAATAGACCCTGGAGGCCAGCCCAGGGGCCCAGAATTCAATGATCCAATGTCCAATGTATTTTGGTTATGTAATTTCTCCATCAAAGGCTAAAGACATTGAATAAATCATTTTTTGATTCATTTGATAAATCTAATTTACTGAGCTTTTTAAAATACACCCTGGAGGCCGGCCAAGAGACCTAAAATTCAATGATCTAATATATTTGATATATTCAATTTCTCCAGTACATGCTAGAGAGATAAATAAAATGAATTAATCAATTCATTAACTTCACTAACCTTTTCTGGAAATTGAGGGAAAGTCAATGAACTATGTAAATTCATTTCATATACTAAATAGTTTTAGATGGCTTATTTTTTCTAAATAGACCGTGTAGGCCAGCCAATGGGGCCTAGATTTCAATTATTTATCTAAGTAATTTCACCAGTATTCAATTTCTCCAGCAAAGGCTAGTGAATTCAAATTGTGGACATGCATTAACCGATTTTATATTGTCATAAATTCTTCCGCAAAAGCCAGAAAAGTAATTAAATTACACACATTACATCATTAAGTTCTAAGTCCCTGGGCAGGCCTTCAGGGCTTGTTCGAATCAAATCATCATAATCTTACTAAGAATGGGTAAAAAGTAGATCTTAGAGGGACGGGGTGCAACTAACTAAAATAATACAAATAATTGAAAGAATTGTCATAATGTAAATACACTGTTATATCTAGTTCTTATTGTCTTAAACATGTTCCTCAGAATACTGTAATACTTAAAACGATCTTTGACATTATTTTCAATATTTTCAAGAATTACATGGAAGGGAATCCTTTTCCTTTCAATAGCATGAATGAATTACAGGATTCCCTGAATTAGGTGTATTGTCATTTCAGGGTGGGTTCTGAGGGGGGCAAGGGGGGGGGGGTTCGCATATATATATATATATTTTTGTTTATACATATGTATATTTCATGGTTTTCACTGGCATTAGATGCCTGACCATGAAAACCCCTGCAATCAAAACCAAGAAACCATGCAGTTTCAATTTCTTGTATGATTTGATTTTCTTGGTTCGTCAGAGGCTTTCATATTCAGGGCAATGTGTTTTTGTCTTTGTTTTAATGGGTTTGGTCTTACCAACAAAGAAAACTCTTGTAGTCAAAGCTGGCGCTTTCAACTTTCATTGCTAAGTTGAAATCATTAGCTTTTGGGTTTTGACAGTTTGTTCAATGTTGCCATGATCATGGATTGGTTCTCATTTTTGTTTTTTGAAGGCGTCAAGGGTTTTGGGGTCTCGGGTTATGAAGTTGGTGAACATTGTTGTCTGCATGCTGTTCCCAAGCCATACAACAAACAGGTTCCCACAGCGTCCTCCTCCCCAATCTTATCCAGTAGTTTCCATCATCCTCACACATGCCTACAGGCAAACCCTCAATGTCCTCGCCAACAGGCTTTGACAGCCGCGTGCGCCGCTGCGAAGCCGGCTTGGAGGCTTTTTGCCTGAGGTGGGGTCAGTTGCAGCTCAGATCCACCTTCCTGAGCGTGACTTGATAGTTTCCCGAAATAAGGAAACCCAAAACAAGCCCAGCTGATCAACAAGAGAGAAGAGAGCGGCACGGACCTTTGGTATAGCGTTTTGAATCGGGATGCTGTGAGGGGAAACCATTGGCCTTGTGAGGGTCAGGTTCATGCGGAAGCTGTTCGGGGACAACATGGAACTCCATGACCACCGCACAAGCTCTTTGTGGGCTAGTGTGGCGAAGTGCTGATTATGCCTCATCTGCTTCTGCAAAAATGACAAACAATGAGGACACCCTCAGACAAATCCAGTGACAAGAAGAAGCCCGATTTTGACTCTAGGGGTGACACATGACAACTGCTTGCCAGGGAGTGCGGGCGCCGGGCGCATATACCGGTATAGTAGCAACATACAAGTACAGTAGCACAGTTTCATTGTATTCCTGTTCTCTTATTCTATCGAAAAGAAATGTGGCGTCCAATGCTATGTCCAGCCAAAAAATCCTGGGAGACCCTGCCAAGAGGCTCGCGGATCCAGCGCTGGACCTGCGAACTTGGGTGTCGCGGAAAGCTGTCGCTTCCAAAATAGCCACAAGAAGGGAGGTGAAATTGGTCTTGATACGCGCCCCTCAAAAGGCAGGGATTGACGGGAGTTTGGCGTGTGAACCTTCAGAAGAAGAGTAGGTTTGATTCCATAGTATCTGAAGCTGGAGACCTACAGATTTCGTCGTGTGACAACAAGCAGGGCATCCCCTATCTGAGCAGTATAGGGCCTGGGCGCCGCTCCCACCTTTCAAAAAGCACCACTGCCCTGACATCCGCCCACACTTGCAATAGGAAACATCAAGGCTACAGGATACTAAACGAAGCGACCGTACAGCCAAATCTCGCATCTCTACCTGTCTCTGTCTATCTGCCTGCGTTTGCCTGAGAGACCCTCTGCGCTGCCCTCTCCTTACTGGTGCCCTAGGGAGAGTGAGGGAGTGGATCCCTATACTAATCCCTATATAAGCCCCATGTGTACCCACATAATGGTACCTATTTTCAGTCCTTTAAACCCCCAACCGTAAACTCTATTCCCCTATAATTAGCCTATAATGGCACCTATCTGCACTCCCCCACCCTAAACCCTAAACATCCCTAAACCCTATATCAACTCCCCCACTCCCCCTA